ACACCACCCTGGGCCACAGCTGCCACCACAGCCCATGCTGGCTCCACAACACCACGCTGTGGAAATGGCAGCCACAAACAAACGTAACCACAAACAGCAAAATGTCCTCTCCCAGGTGACAGCCAGGGAGAGAAACAGCCTGCTTCCTATGATAGTATCTGCTTCCCTTCGGTTTACACACACTCTGCAGTCTTAGCTGTTTCTTCTATCTTCTGACTTTTTAAATCCTTTCACATCAGCACTTTTCCTCTTGCTTTACTAGATACATGACAAAATAGCAACTGAGTGTTTCCTTTTGAATAAACTGCTGAAAACTCAAAAAACAGCATAAGACTGATAAGACTGAAGCATAATGTTCAGAGCACGGCACCACTGTGAGGAGAGAAATCAAGAGAGTAGCTTACCGTAGTAGTTATCCCAAAACATTTTCTGGAAAAAAAAAAAAAAGGAAAAAAAGGGAAAGTTGGACTTCAGTTCTCAAATAACATTACTTCCCATGGGTACTCTGTAAAACAGAAGCACTACATGAGAGATTATACTGTCCCTTCCTTCCCAGAGGGAGCAGCCAATGCCCTTCTATAGCCTGCTGCTCCCGATCTTGCACTTGGACCACCAGTTCCGTGGTTGTTTTTTCTTCTTCCCTGCATACACCATCTCTGCACAGATTCCTGTGTTAGAGAGCAGAGCATCCAGCTGCACATCGCAGAGGACCTCTTGTACAGTGGCACTTGTGGCCATTGACCCCAGAATCCTCCTTCTGAAAGTCTTACTACTGCTGTGGTTCTCCCCTCCATCCCAGCACCCCATTGCCCCTCCCAGTCCCCAAGGGATATTGAGGCTGTATTTGTGTGTGTGTTCAGGATGGGATAACACCTGTGTGCTTTCCCAACACAAGACGCAGGACACATCAATTTCAGGAGGGGATTTTAAAAGTGTAGAAGATTGTTTTACACAGAAAAACCCAAACGGTGGAAGCAAGCTGCTGAAACTTGTAGTAAATAAAATAACAATAACAAATCAAAACAAAACAAACCAAAGTCACCAAGAAAATAGTTCTCCACACGCACAAAGGATAACAAAATACTTACGAGCATTTCATCATTTTCAAATACTTCCCTTGCTTCCTCGTGTGTGCATCTCTCTTCAAGGCATTCCCTTTCCAAACTGCCTTGCAAGACCTCCTCGAAACGCAGGGAGTTGGCACGTCGATGCCTCTTGATAACTTTGTTTGCATCATCAGTTGATATAAACACTGAAACGATGTGCGAGGAGATGTTGATATTAGTACTGAGGCTATGTTTTATGATTTCACTTTAATTTTTTTTAAGATCTTATTAAGCTGCCAATTTTTATTGTGAAGAGAAATCCTTTGGATGATTCAGAGTTTCAGCCACAGTAAACTACAAAAAAGGTCTACTTCCTCAGCCCAAATCAGGCTGAGGAGTCACAGGGATGTAGCACCTCTTCTGGGGGTGCCTTGCTTATTCCCAGGCAGGCAACATTTGGTACAACTCCAAGCCCTGGATCTTGAAGACCCTTAATTGGGTGATGCGTTTTGTGGGTAATCTTTGCTCTGTCATGGGTTTCATGGCTCTTTGGTCTCAGTAAAAATTGGAAAAATAATTTCTAAAAGGCAGACAGCTGAAGACATGAGAGAGATCAAACCTTGAAACTCCTGTTTGCAATGATGTCCACAACAGAACTTGCCTAGCAGGGGGAGGGCTGGGGTGGCACTTTAGCCTTTGACATTAACTGGGACGTGGCCACGTGTGTCAGCACGTGTTTGTCAGTTCTCATGTACTCAGAAGGTAAATCCAATGGGGCAGGGACTGGCTTTGTTTGTTTGCTTGGTTGTTCTGCATTTTATACTTTGTTTGGGGACCCAAAGGTTGAGATGATATTCTAATGATATTAGAATTGAAGAATATTAAAAGCAATATAAAAAATATTCTGCAGTTCCTTAGTTGTGAAGGCTTGCAAGCATGCAGCAGGCTCGCATGTGATATTAAGTAAGACAAAGCTTCATGTTCATGCTTTGAATTTCTAAAAGTTCTCTAGACCCCCACTGCACATTTGGACAAACCATGCAGATGAATACAAAAAACATATATTTCTGACTTTTATTTTTATTACAGCAGCAACTAGGAAAACAAAATCCTCCTTACTATGTCAGTGATGGTATTACCAGATTACAATGCCTCAGTAACCTACTGTCATTTTTACTTAGGTAGATGAAAAAAACCAGCAAAAATGTACTGAAACATGGATAGCTGGATAGCTGTTAGTGATGTCAGCCTGTGCTACAAGGCAAACATGACAGGAGGTACATAAACACCGGTATGTTTACAAGAGCAGGAGCACAAAGGAGAATGAAAGCCACAACAAAACAAAGGCCATACCTGTCTGCTCTGTCTGAAGGAAAAGGGCAGAGAGAAGGAACAACATTGTCCAAAAGCATCTTGCCATTGCTACTCTCTGCGATCAATGGTGGCTTGCCTGCATTCCTGCAGCTCTTTGGGGAAATGGCTCAATGGGAGATGTTGAAGTTTAAAGTCCAGCTGCTCAAGAGAAAACAAAACCTCAGAGGGCAAAGCCCGGCCTCAAAGTCAACATGTGGAAACCTTGAAAAAACCTGTTTGGTGGTTGGACAATTCCCCTTCTCTCATTGCAAGGGCTGAAGGCGAAGCATGCTTGGTAACCTCCAACTTTTGAATGTTCCTCCCCCAGCCTTCACTTCTGTAATACAAAATGGGGAGAGGTGGACAGCATGAGCATTTCTTTGTGCCATAGCGAAGCACCAGCACAAGCTTGATGATGACTCCAGGATCAGTAGTGCAGCACGGCTGCTCTGCTCACCGACTCCATTTAAACTTTATTGTGGCAGGGCATGGAATGAGAGGATAGACGTGCTTCGTTCTGCAGGTTTGGGGCAGCCTGGAGGGGAAAATGCTCTTTAGTCTCAGTTAGAAACATAAAGAACACACCAATCTGAGCATATGTGAGTAAACCCTCAAATAAAACTTCACATCAATTGGAGTTTTAAAAATCAGATTTGCTGCAGAGCCAGGCTGTTTCATCTCAGCATGCTTACATGTCACCACTTGATGTCAGTACAGGGCTTTGCAACACACACATGTATATCTGCAAGCATTAACTATTTTTTATACAAGCTGGTCACACTTTGCGAGCCTATGCCAATTAAAGGACTCCTGTTGGTATCAGATGTTTATTCAAATTAGGTTAATAATAGCAATACACACCTTCAGAAGCTGTATTCTTCGTAGAGCTTAGTTCACAAGTTCATGTTTTCTTTTTAAACAAAACATGCCTTGAACATCTGTACAGGCCACGGTGTACTCAATCCATGTACAGCACCCACTTTGCCTTTTCTGTATTGACATTATTGCAACAGTTCTCACAAACTATTAAGAAACATAGCACAAAAGGAGGGGCTTAGAAAGGCAGTCCTTTTCTTGTGTGGTCCTTTAGGAAGAGAAACTGGAATTTCTTTTTCCATTTCCTTAAACATCATAGCAAGAAGACGGATGCAGAGTTTATCAGCACATCCAGCAGCCCTGTTTGCTGCAGGCCTGGCTGGCTGTCAGCTGACTAGCTCTGTCACTATCCCACACTTTCGGGAAATGCACACTCAGCTATGGAAAGGGGACAGCAATGATATTCCAGAAAACATTACCCTTGCACTAAGCAAATAGAGAAAGCTGGCGGCTGGGTTCACAGCCACATTTGTACCTGGGAAGTCCTGCTGCTGAGTAGCATGAGGGCACCGTAGTTGGTTTGTGGACACTGGAAATGGTTCAAGGCTAAGGAGTGATGTGTGCTGCCCATGGCAGGAGCTGCTCCAGCCTCCACCTCCCTGGGGAGCTGGGGGACAGGGAATGAGGAAGAACTAGCCAATGGGAAGCACATACTCTGCAAAGGATTAATGCTTAGTGCAGTTAAAATGAGTTATAATTCAGTTAAATGTCTGGACAGCAGCCAAGCAGTGCTGTTCACCATCTGCAGGAAAAGAAAAAGCTATTCTTGCTGTATCTGAAGGGCATCACCATTTCTAAAAGCTGGAAGGATTTGCACTTGTATTGGAGGAACATCAGCACTGCCCTTCTGTTTGGTTGCAGATTGCAGGACATCGTGAGGGAGGAATGAAACCACAGGAGATTTGATTCCCTCAAGGGGCTTTCCTTGAGGTTGTGCAAGCCTTCTGACTGTCTGGCTGTGAAAACAGAAAACATCCTGGACTCTGACATCTCTGCAGTCAAGTGCTGACATTTTCTATTTCTGTTTCTGAAGATATCACAGGGCTCTTCAGAGCTCCTTACTGAGCTCAGTGTTCTTGCCTAGAACTCAGCTCCTAAAGCCTCCCTGCACCATTTCTGCTCTTCTTTTTCCACCTGATTCTCTTCCCTCAGGTGGCAGATGAGCAGCCCTGCAACTGAGTCCAGATGCTGTGATTTATGTTGTCCCCATGGCCATCCAGTCGCTTCCTCTGCCACGGACTCAGCAGAAAGGCAGCCCTGCCCTGAGATCAGTGCAAGGCCACCACCTCACAGCTTTCAGCTACATCCTAGCCAGATGGGACCAGGAGGTGGAAGTGGTTCCTACTGTACACCTGACTCCCAAGCCACAGGAGACACAGACTGTGAGCTTGGATTACATTTAGAAGTTGACTTTGGTATTCGTGACAGGAAAAGAAAATATCCATCTGCAACAAAAGATTTGTGGCATTTGTAGGTGTTTATGGGAGAATCAAAGTACATCTTCGAGAATAGCCTGAGTTACAACTCCATCCTCTCTCTGAAGACTTAGAAGACTGACAGAGGCAAAGCACCAGTAATGTGATGCGTGTCTTTGGCGTGTCTCTTGACAACTGCAATTTTCTGTGCAATTAAGCAGTTGGGTGAAACGCCTCTGCAGACAGCATTTGTTCTCATGCACTGACACTCTTTTTAAAGTACATCACAGAGCACTTTATTTTTCCTGTAGGGACCCAAGTATCTTACAATCTAGTTCATCATTTTTATGTACCACTGAACTGAATAGCAGATCTTTGTTTCTCTCAGAATTAAAGTAAAGCAGACAGAGTATGTGTGGCTCAGCTGGTTTTAGAGTCAGACTTTTCCTATTCCTGGAAGAAAATTTACCCTCACAGATTTAAAATCTCTTTGGTTGTTAAGAATTTAAATAACACCTTACATAAATGAAGACTTAAAACAATATTGTCATTTGTGGAGTACGTAATACGTTCACTTTATTATAGACAAAATCATGACTTCAGTAATTATGGTGAAAGAATTATCTCAGAAGGACAACAGATTATTAGAACACCAGTGATGTTGGTAATTATAAGCAAGCTTTGCCAAATCAGTTAATATAACAAGGTACTGGTGTCAGTGACATGGCCAGTTCTTTAGGCTCAAGTGTGGATACACAGTTGGTTTCCACTTTTTTCCAGAGTTCTTCCAGAGTCTTAAAGTCTTTAGAAGTATGTCCTACATCGATATTATTCTGGTCTAGGTTGATTTCTATAAAGCAAGTACTGCCACAGGAAAGTTGAGTTAGTTGTAGCCTTCGAATGGGAGGTTTAGCAGGCTGGACAAATAGGCTTACTTGTACAGCCAAAGTCTCCTAGACAAGTTCAATCAACCACAGCATAAGCGAAAAGAACTCCTAAATCATTGTATTTGAAGATGTGCCATTATTGTCCCAAACCAGAAAGTCAAAATACACCTTCTGAAAACCAGGCATGAGCTCATGAAGAAACAGCTGGCATCTTAACAGTGTTATCAGAATTACAGCAAGCATTTTACAAAGAGGAAAATATTATTTGGGGATCAGATCTGATGGCTAAGACAGTTGGGTTGATTAAACACCAAGCCATTAAGAGTTTTGTGTCAAAACACTTCTTACCCATGGCAGGAAATTTGATACTTTGGTGTATATTCCATATTTTCCTTGCCTCCCACACCCTTCTCCCCAGCTGATGATTCCAGTAACAAAATAAGTGCCATTGTATTCTGTTACATGGGGGCCTCCTCCATCTCCTTGGCAGACATCTTGTCCATCTTTATTATAACCTGCACAGAACATGTTTCTTGTTACTAAATAACGAATAGCTTGCTTGCAAGTTTTCTTATCCACATAAGGGATTTGAAGAACTTTCATTCTTCTGGCTGGCCGCGTGTGTTCATATGAATTCCCAAAGCCACTGACAATTCCAAATGTTTGCTTCATCAGAACATCATTAGCAAAGTCTTCTTCTGGAAGGCATGCTGGGACAACATCCTCAGAAAACGTGATAGGTTCTTTTAATTTGATGAGGGCTATGTCACTATCATGGGTTTGAAAATTAAACTCAGGATTTGAAATTATTTTTTCCACTGTGTGGAATGCAGAACTTGGTTCTTCCTTTTCTCTGTCCACCATCCCTGTGTCAGATTATTAAAACAGTTGTTAACAAGATTATAACAGCAAGCCCAAACAGCACCTCAGTAAAAGATGGGACTAAAGTATTTTGTACGTTGAATAGACATTTTTTCTGTACAAATAAAGTAGAGCTGGTCTGTATCTTGATTCTGTAGCATTTTATATCAATTTTGATACCAAGTGCATTTAAAAACAAAACTCTGCTACTGGAATGGCAATCTCAATGACAACGTTCACGTAAAGTTCTGGCTACTACAGTGCTACTCCTCATACAAACAAAACCCCAGCATTGAAGAGTAGGACCTTGCCCCTGTTCTTTGTAGAGCAACACAAACAGACTTAAACTGGAAACATTCATTGTCTTTAACATTCTGCTCGAAAAATGAGAACTTTTTTATATTTAATCTTCTCAACTTGTATGAAGACTCTTTAGGAATTAAATTGACAGCCATTAATGCCTATACAGGTTTTGAATTACTATTGTAGAACAAGTGGAAATTTTTGTGACTCAGAATACTGTTTTCAGTGCCTAGAACTTGTGAGAAGCTACCTTTTTTTTCCCCCCTTCATAAATTACAGTAATAAATAATGAAGGTAAGGTTTCCAGTACGCAACAGTCTCAGACATGCTGTCAAAACATTTGTTGTTAACATCTGAATGCGACGTATGGAAGTCTTCAAGGTTTGGCCAGCACAGGGAATTGCATGAAGGTGTAATTTTAGACCAATTAACTGAATCCAAAACTAAACATGGAAGAACTTCTTTACAGTGAGAGTGACAGAACACTGGAACAAGCTGCCCAGATTGGTTGCAGAGTCTCCTCTGGAGATATTTAAGACCCATCTGGATGCCTACCTGTGCGGCCTATAGAAGGGAATCTGCTTTAGCAGGGGGTTTGGGCTCAATGGTCTCTAGAGGTCCCTTCCAACCCCTGCAACTCTGTGATTCTGTGAAATCAGCTCAGTGTCACTCGCCCAAATATTTTCCCAGTTCCTATTACAGACAAGCTATGCTGGGCCAAGCAAGGCTTAAAGAAACTGTCCATTCAACCAGGCTGAACATGTAACTCATTGCTAGCCAATAGACAAGATGAAGCAGTGAGATATATCTGTGATAGCTCAGTGTCTTGCACAGACACTAAAAGACAGTTTTTTGGTAGCACTTATTTTTATAGTAAAGGTCAAAATGACAACAACTCACCAACAAGAACCCGTAATCCCATAGAATTGTTAACACACTGAGCTGCAGTAAGTATAAAATACTCATTCAGAATTGTTCCCCCACAAATCCATTCACCATGCTTCTGTACTAGAACAGCCTGCCAAGAGAGGAAAAAGCATAAGTGCAAAAATGTTTGTGCAGGGAAATCCTCAACAGCTAGTTTAGATTCAAGTACTTTTCTTAAAGAAGAAATTTTCTTGTGTATTTTCTGTCAGTAGCATCCTCAATTCGGATGTAGTGAGAGTTACACTCAAGCAGTATAAGCCAACACAGAGGGAAACTTGACAAAAAAGACATTTTTCCTGGCTCAGAGTTGAGTTTGCATACCCAGTTATTATTATTTTCTAAACAAATTTGGTTAATATTCTAACAGCATTATTCCTCTCCGTTTTTTTTTGTTTGACTTCAGTGATGGTCAAAACAAGAACTCCATCCATTCTTTCGACACTGCCGTGTCGCAATCTGAGTGGCTGTGTGGCTGGCTGGAAAGGGGTTCTAGGGAAAAGTCCAGTTCTATGCTCAATGTCTGCCACCCTCCTTCTCTCCTAGCCTCTTCCTCTTAGCACGTTCTTGAATTTGAAAACAGTCATATCTTCATTCATGGTACTAGACCTATGCAAAAACTAGTCATTCAGGAGGGAGGAACAATCAAATGTTGACACCAGCTTGTTTCAGAGCACAGATTCTCCTCCCCACTGTCATTCAAGTCTGCACCTTCACCCTCCTTCCCTGCCGCCAACACTCTCAGCATGGTTGCAAGCACAGCCATGAGCCCATAACTTCCCTGTTTCCAAACGTCCTGCCAGTTAATTGCCACGGTGAGACCTATTTGTCCTACTAGTCACCATGCTACGTGTGAGCAGCGTGGCAGGTTGAACCTGTTGCTTTGGCAAAGTGGTGAGCTATTGCCCCTGTTTGTCTTCTATGCAGCTAGTAGACAGGGTCTATTCTGACCTATTAGATCTGCCCTGCTTGGAGGAGCTGCAAGTCCTGCCTCAAGCTGAGCTACATCCCCATGGCAAGCAAAGATGAGGGGTATGGTGAAGTGTAAATGATTTCCAGACCTGGCGAGTACCTGAGGCATTAAACCTCTTGAGAGTAAGGCACCTTACCTGCCATGGACATATGCTGGGTATACTGCCAGCCTCTTCTACTACCTCAGAGGAGTTACTTGGAGCCTCAGTGGTTTCCTCATTTTTAAGATGATCTTCTGTACTTGTAACATTTTTTTGATCCACTCCATGATTTCTCTTAAATTTACCACATGGGAACTTAACTGCAAAGACAAAACTGAGACACTAACACTTGATGTCTGCATCTGACTGAGAATTTGGTGCACCTGTCCCTTATTGACAGCAAGGCTGACCCATCTATAACCCAACGCAAACCAGCTGTGAAGGCCCAGCTGCTGTTACCAGCCTTCACGTTAGCTCAGTACTGCCTTTCTTGCTGGTCTGGCAGAGCCCTCAGTGTAACAGCTGCATGGTCAACAAAGTAAATCCAACTTTCAGTGCACCTCTGTACCTCTTGCTGTTCTTCACTGCAAGAAGTGTCTAAAACTTGCTGGAACGTGGGTTTTGCAGTCAAAGGCAGTCTTTAGATTTGTAGATGTGTATATACTGTGGAGGAAAATGGTTTGCAAGGAAACATTGCTTTCAGGGTGTCAAATCTTTGTGAAAGTGAATGAAAATTAACTTAAGAGTTCAAGAAAAACTCTTTGACAACAGCTGATACAATTGCTTTGATTGCAGTTGGATACTCAGGTATCCTTATCAGGGGTAGCTCTGCAAGAATTTTCACGATACTTACGAAAACTTCACAAATGCAAAAGGGAAACAGACACCAGGCTGGTTGAAAAATGAAATAAAAATTCCAGTTCTAAAACCTGCTCATGGGTTTAGCAGTTCCAAAGTATTTAGAAGTTAAACATCTTCCATTATTGGTATTGCTATTGTCATGTACCTGTTGGAAGATGGGTTTTGCAGTCAGGTCTGAGAACGTACCCATTTGCACTATTTTGGCCACTGCACATCACTCACAGTTGTACAGTTTGATATTGGTTGGATTATCACCTTTTTCTAAAGAACTTTTCATTGGTAACAAATCAAGCAAGCCAGATGCCAACAGTGAATATTATTCCTCACACTGCAACAGCACTGCAATACATCAGCCCTTCCTAAACACAGTGAAGATGTGATATGTGTCCAACAGAATGAACTTTAAGTGTGGTTTCATACCTACAGGAACGCAGGTTTTGTTGTCATCATCCAGAGCATAGCCAGAAACACAGGAACATACCACCCCTTCATCTTCCTCTTTGCAGAACTGTGTGCAGTTCCCATTGTTGGCCTTGCATGTACTTGGTGTGACTGCAAAGGAGGCAAGCTTAGAGACAGGTTCCATATTCACGCTGATTTCATAAAAGCACAAGCAGCTGTAAAATCTTGCTTGCAAGCATTATTCAAAACCCTCACCACTTTGTAGTTCTCTGCAGTTCCTGCCAAAGGCCTCCAGTAATCACAAGTATATGTTGGAATAGTTCCCCAACTATAGTTCCAACATAAGATGTGAAATGATAGTGGTCTGGTTAACAGCTTATGGGTTTCTTAAAAATGCTCATTTTTTCCCCAACTGTAACTTGCAGCTCTTTGAGAGCACAAGCTGAAAAAATCTACAGTCAGAGGAACAGAGGGAGAATAAGAAATTAGCAACAACTTGACTATAAGTCCCCAGCACTACGAGCTCACAGGCTTAATGGGAAAAATCTTCCCTGCAGTAACAGTGTGAGAGCAAGGAGAGGTAAACCAGTCCTAAGAGAGGTGGTCTAACCCTTCCTACAGGTTTGTAGGATTCCATAGCTCACCCATGCAGCTAACCCACTCTTAGATAGCCTTATAACAACTAAATGTATAACAACAATATCCATACAGAGTTTCCCACAGTGTGGCATGATTCCATTGATTCTGTTTTCACTTTTTGTCTACAGAAACAGAGACTACTTCAGTTCCTTCCTTGTTTTGTTACATATTTCAGAGACTCCCTTGATGATGCATTGTGGGGCTAAGGGAGAAATTTTGTTTTGCTCTTCCTGAATTACCTCCTATTTATGTTGGACTACTGTACTGTTATTCTTACGAGATGGTCTTGAACTCTCATGTTGATTTATGATAGTCTTTCATTCTGGAACCAGCTGTAAATATCAAGAGTAAACACTCTCTCCTGCCCTTCACGTCACTGGGGAAGATACTGAATAGCAGCTGTCCTAAGGCTCACCTGTGTGGAGCCCTGCACTCCCTATCAGCTTTCCTTTGACAGTGAAACACTGACTAGCACAGTCTCACAGCCTGATGTTCACCAGCCTCTCTGCAGTTTCATCCAGATCATGCTTCTCTACTTGCTATGGTGATAGTATTATATAAAATGATGTGGATGCATGGCATCTTTTGCAACCTGTTATCCTGTCCCTGGGGGAAATGAGATTGGTGTGATGTGATTTGTTTCTGACAGCTGCAACTCAGCAGTTTCTTTTCTTCTTGCTGAACACATATAATCTGATACCTTAAGGAAGAAAGATTATCTTCACCAATGGGGAAGCATTCTCATTGTTTTCACTTTCTATACCTGTATTCTTAGATCAGCGCTTGATTTTCATGTTTATCTTATTTTATTTAGGCCTTAGCTCTTCCGTTTTTATGCCAGAATGTTTGCAATTCTTTTATGCTGATCCTCTGATCAGTGATTTGAACTAATTTATTTTTTCTATGCTTCCTTTTGGAGGTCAAGTCTTGGAGCAGCTCATTATTTTAATTAATCTTCTTTTCCTTTTTTGACCTTGGGATAGTGGGACATGTAAATAAGCTTTTATTTTAATAGACATATCCACATATTTTCTCTCTTTCAAAGATACATTGATTTTATTCTCTTGTTCCTTTTCTTTTCTGCCTTCATAATAAGCTCTGTCATTTTACAACGTGGAGTCCTGGTTCTTCTCTGCACTATTAAACACCATGGGTTCAATTTGTCAGTAGCTTACAAATCGACATCGATAATAAGGATCATTGAATTCTCACATCCCTTGAGGACATAAGAACAGCACATCCTTTGTGCTGTCAGTCTGAAAGCACTGCATATTGACATATTAACCCTGTCCTTAACACAGACACAGCCCCTTCACACCAAAATGGTATTCCCCCAAAGACTCAGCCAAGAACATACTGTAATATACTGTATAAGTGTAGCAGGCAAATGAGAGCAACGTGGGTAAAAAAGCAAAGCTAACAGATTTCCCTGCTGGCACTCTGCTCCACACAGTGTGAATGATAGCAAATAGTTACCTGTGTGGCTGAGGCAAAGCAGCACAAAGCCAAGTTAAAGTGAAGACTACACCTGTTTGCAGCGTCTGAAGGAAAAGGAGGACAACGGGAAGAAGCCACACTGCCCGATGGTGACCCATCACTGCCATCCTGTGAGCTCACTTGGTGACTCTGGTTTTCCTGCAGGGCTCTGGGGCAGCTGCTAAATAAGAAGCACTGCAGAGCAAAGGTCGTTAACTAGGAGAAAACAAAACTGCTAGGGGCAAAGCGTGGGCTCAGAGTCACCAAAGGACAATGTTAAAGCAGCAAAAGCCACTATGTCACAGCAGTGCCACCCCGGCAGCTTGTAGGTGCCCCGTGACAGCAAAGTTCCACAAAGGCACCAGGCTGGACAGTACTTTCACAAATGCATCAATTTCCACCTTATTTTGGAATTATATATATTTTTTCTGGCTAATGCCACTCCATGGGGATAGCTGATGACAGAGCCTTGTGGTCTGAGGCTCTGACCAGTCTGGATAATTCTTCAGCTGAAAATGAGTTCCATCTGGACACAGCAGTGTCCAGTGTGTTTCCCTGCCATGCTGGAGGATATCACAAAGAAGGACTTCTTGCCCACCTTCATTCCTTCCAGCAGCCCCATTGTGCTGCATTCTTTCTCATTTCTTAAGGAACTCCAACATTTGAGACTTCACCCAGACAAAACCTATTAGAGGCTTTTCCAGCCACAGAGGTAGGAGGATTTCCATGAGACCTCTTTGAACCTTCCTCACTGCAAATGGGCTGGATTCTTTTTACCTTCACCACAGACATGAATATCTGATTAGTTTCTGCTTCTCGACAGCAGGATGATGTTGGTTTTTTTTTCCCCACACATGGAAGCTGTTGCTGTGTTTCTGCTCAGACCTTCCCTATTTTAAGTCTAAAGAGGTCTCATTTTTCTCATGAGATCCAGCACCTCATGTTCAAGAGGCTCTCGCCCAGATACTTTATCTTAGACTAGGCCTGAGAAATGCCCTAGCTTCTTATTCATAGAATAGATTCATTGAATCACTTACGTTGGAAAAGACCCTTAAGACCAAGCCCAATTGACCTGACAGTACCAAGTCCCACCACTAAACCATATCCCTAAGGTCTACATATCTCTTAAATGCCTCCAGGGACGGGAACTCCACAACCTCCCTGGGCTGCACATTCCAATGTCTGACCACCATTTCTGTGAAGAAATTCTTCCTGACGTTCAACTTAAACCTCCTCTTGGGCAATTTGAGGCCATTTCCCCACATCCTGTCACTTGAGAAAAAGAGACTGACACCCTCTTTACTGCAACCTCTATTCAGGTTGTTGTAGAGAGCAAGGAAGTCTCCCCTCAGCCTCCTCTTCTCCAGACTAGGCAACTCCTGTTCCAAACAACCTCCATTCCAAATTCATCATATTATTCCTCTCTAAAGCTTCAGTGTGATTGCACTCTGCTTGCCATCCTTCCTTTCTACCATTTCTACTCAGCACTGCCTTTTCCTTGCAGGCTGAGAAAGCCTGAGCAACTGAGGGTAGCTTTGAGCTTCCATTTCCGCCATTTACCATTTAGTTCTTGCCTAAATCAGTAGTGACTGTTTGCCATGAGGAGTTCTGGCATTTTAAAATCCACCAGTTTGCACTGCTGCTATGTGCTCTACCTCTTGCCTGACAGTCAGGATCTGTTTCAATTTTGCTAGGTGAAACTGCCCCAAAATAATTCATGTATGTAAACTAGCATGCTTTTATTCTGTCTTCTCTTGCTGGCCCTAGAATTGGTTATGAGTCTTGATAGGAGACCAAGTGAAACACCATCAGCAAGGGAAGGATGCAAGCAGACATTTCACTCATGTCTTTTCAGTGCTGCTACAGAGACAGCATTTACAGAATAAGAAAGGAATATGAGAACCCTGTGCATGTAGGCACCATACACAGTTAAAGCTTGGTAAAAGATAAACTCTGATTGCAAAGCCCAAGGACAGTCTCTTGTACACTGCAGAATAACGACGCTTCCTCTCTTCCCAGCATCAGCCACCTTTACCAGAGGGAGGTCCTCTCCTCAGCCATCCCAACACTTTACATACATAGTCCAGACCAAGAGTCACTTCAGGCTTTGCTGATGCAGAACAATGCCCTTAGCACAAGTACTTGTATGGGATTTAGGTAGCACGTGTGCCTGAGCACTTCCCTCTGAAAAGGGATGTTTCACCCTGATGGTGTGTGGAGTGAACGTGGGACAAAGGGTTAGAAGGTACAGTGAACAGAAAAATTCATGGAACTAACATTGCTGAACAAACATTTAAATAACCCTGCTGTGATTTTATACAGGTGGAGATCATCTATCTGGGGTAAATGACCCGCAGTTCTTCATGTCTGCATTTTCTGCTGACTGCAGCAATACCTTGGTGCTGAGCAGAGCTGTCTTTCTACTTTTTTAACCTGCCTTCCTCACAGCACCTGCTGTACAAAACTAGCCAGTATCCACTCAAACCCTAAGAGATAAGTGGCAGGTGTCTGGCAAAGTTTAGTATACCTCAGACAGCACAGGAGCATGACAGATCAGAGGACCCTTGGAAAATCCATCAGGATCAGTAGGAAATTAGACTCAATATTGCATAATAAAAAGCTTGAGGAAACTGGGTTTGTTAAGCCAGGGAGGGTTGCATTTAGATCTTTCAACAAGGAAAATTCTAGGTGGATATGACTAATTTTTAGCTGTGAGTGTGCTAAAACACAGCAACTTGTTGCCCAGAAGGGTAGCAGCTTTGCCTTAAAAGTTTTCAAAACTTGACCAGACCCTACACAAACTGATTTCTCTTTGATGTTAGCCTTGCTTTAAGCATGGGGTTGGACCAGACAGCTTTCACCCATCCCGTCTACTGCAAATTATTCCATTATTTCTGTGACTAGAACTGCAGCTGAGAAGGTCTGAAGAAGAATGCATGCAGGAACAGCACTCCACGTACATAAACTGAGTATTGAGCCACTGCTAATCATAAGGCAAGGGAAATGTGTCACGTGTTTGTTTGGAGACATGCAGTCCTTCACTTCCAAATAAGACTCTGTCTTCATATA